AAGAAGATGACCACCTTCATAGATGCCCAGTTCACTACCTTTCATGACAATCATTATCATCCCTAAAAAGAACCTGCTCTCTGTAACCAGCAATGTGTTGCAGGTTATCTTAAAAAGTAGTTTTTAAAAACCAGCTGAACTTCCTATCAATGGAACACATTTTAGGATCTATCTAGAAGTGAAATTTCTTCCTAAGGTAATTAGGTCTGGGAGATACACTATTGATTATCGTGATTGTAAGAATATTCTCTTATTCCATCCATTCTAGCCATCTGTATTTGAATTGTCTATGCATTGCGCCATATGTGATGTAAAGATTCATAGCAACTGCATCCTTATTTAAAGAGCAAGTTAAGTAAAATGTGAATGTGTACATTTTACACACATGTACCGAGGAGTCAGAGGATGGGTTGTAACCTGTAAAATCGAGTTAACGGTACACACTTTTATGGATTCAGATAGCTGGTGATTCTGTTTACGTCTAACTTCAAAGCATTGGTGTACATTTTTGGTGTACACCAATTGAAATCATTGGTGTACATTTTGGGGATTAAGAATAGTTTAAATTACTCTCTACTTGACTAGTGTTGGAACAAAGCCTCAGACTACTATGAGTCAAAGAACAAATACCTAGATATGAAAAAGCTAGCCTAGATCCACTTGGCTCTGATAATACTGAAGATCAGTAGTCTTTCACTTAATAATTACTGGTAATGTGTCCAACAGCACATAGTTGCACCATTCTCTTAGAGAAAAACGGAAATGAAGTAGCATTGAGCTACTGCATCCGAGTTGCACTTTTGATATATACGAGCAAGTTACTTATTTTACCCAGTGGGCAGATTATGTAACAAAAGTAATGGTCTAAAAACAAAGCTCTTTGTCATTGAAATGGAGTGTGTAACTGGAGGTGGCCTGCGATGGTAGGAGCACTGAAGTCACCGAGTGGCTTCCTCCTAGAGTCAGTTAACTGTTTAGCCAGATATGGCTCCTTGATCTTTGTCATTTTTGAAATGGCACTGGTGACTATAGTGGGACTGGCTGAAGGCAATTTGCTACTGTCCACAGAAAAAGAAATAGTTTAAGTCCCATGCTCTAGATATGTAGAATGAATATATCACGCTTCATATGTCAGCAGTGACAACACTTGCAGAAAAACCGTGAAGTTGAAAAGGAGAATAATCATCACAGATAATTTACCTTCCTTCCATACTGTGAAATATCAATAGCGAAACCGCCCCAATTTGGTCACATGTGCATACTATTAACCTTTGAAACACTGCATCTTTGCGGGAAAGTTTTATCCTTGCATCACTTGTTGCTGATTAAGCCTCAAAACAAAACAGTGTTTTAAGTCCCTGTTGATAAATTCTCAGCCGAGATTCAGCTCATTAAACAATGTTTCCTTTTTGATGAACTCAGGCAATTCATTTAATGACACTAAGAGGTTTGTTTTTAGCAATTCAGGATAAGGCAATGTCAGCAAAGATAGGAAGCAGGTAAAAATCACCTTTGAGTGTTTTACGGCCCATGTTCTGTATAATAAAGAAAAACTGGCATGAGGATTGAAGTAGATCAGTGATTCCCCAACTTGGTTAATTATGAATCTCATTTGGAGGCACTTGCTAGAAATAGAAATACAAACTCTTTCACTGGAGAATTTGATCCAGGTGAATCTTACCAATATTTGAGAAAAATCTGATGTAAATGATATGTAGTTACTAAAGAAAAATTACACATAAGTTACAGGATACATCCCCTCAGGCCTTGGCCATTGCTTCTTATGCTAAAGGCTAAGATTACATTTAACTTTGGATAATCAATCAATAAGGGAATTATCATAGTACTGTAAATCACAGAACTCCAAAGATTATGTTATAAAATAAATGATAAAAGATACATTGGGCTGGCCATGGTGGCTCACACCTGTAATCCTAGCACTTTGGGAGGCCGAGGTAGGAGGATCTCTTCAGTCCAGGAGTTCAAGACTAGCCTGAGCAACATAGCAGGACCTGATCTCTACAAAAAAATAGAAAAATTAGCCAGGCATGGTGGCGTGTGCCTATAGTCCTAGCTTCTTGGGAGGCTGAGGCAGGCAGATCCCTTCTGCCCAGGAGTTTGAGGTTGCAGTGAGCTATGATGACACCATTGCACTCTAGCCTGGGCAACACAGTGAGATCCTATCTCAAAAAAAAAAAAAAAGATATATTGGAAGACAACCATAAGAATTCATCAATAAACCTTGGGAAAGAGTCTAGACATCCAGTTATTTAAATAGAGATGTACAAATATTTTATTAATATAGCTGTTCCACTTAATGGAAACTTCTCTGGGGTCCATAGACAAAGTAATAAAGTGCATGACTGGCAAGTGTGAAACGAGATCATCAAGGTAGCACCAGGTATTGTCTTGTACTGGTGTTGATTTGTATCTATTGATCAGTCCTAGTTAATACTCAGTGGAATTATAAGTGAAAAAATAATCACTCTCTTTAATTAAGCAAACAAAAAGAGTAATTTATTACATAATAGTAAGTCAATATGTTTTTATATATTATAGAGATAAACATATTTATTATAGAGAATAAACATATTTCATATATTGTAGAGAATAAATAGTAGCATAAACACAACACAGAAAAGTGGAGAGAATAACCCATAGTTATAGGCATATGGTCAGTGGCAAAACTAATCAATGAACCAGTCAACTATATTTATTAAGGCCTACTATGGGCTAGGCACAGGGCACAAAGACAAACAAGAGATGGTCCCAGACCTCAGGTATCAATTACTTAGAAGTCTTCTGGTAGCTAATCTAGAACTCAGTAGACTTTTAAATGAATCATGACTAATAGAATAAAAATAGATCTTTTCTTTCTCAGTGACATCAGTAACACTGTTATTTCAACATAAAGCTTTATGCATTTGTTGCTTTTTGTAAATATTAAGGAATTAAAATTTCTCAAATTGATTTGGTTAATTAAGTGTAAAATTTGCAAATGTAAAATTTCATTTGGTTAAACTGGTCTTTTATAGATATGTACCTATATAGTAAAAAATTATTTCAACATGAATCATTTCTATATTCAATAGATAATACATATAATGAAATAAATGATTAATCAATTAAAAACATCATTCACTTCATTTAGTCAATTTAGTTTTGTAAACAATTAAACATTTACTCAACTTAAGTAACTAAAAGTTATGAGGGGACCAGCAACTATGTGAGTATAATGTGATTCTCAGTATAGTGGTAATTAGATATACTTCTACTGAAGTTAACTATATAGCAGTATAATTTTAAAATATCATAAGAGATTATTTCCATGAATAAAAACCCATTTCTCTGAGAATGAGAAAACCCATTTCTTACTGAGAATAGCTCAGTAAGAAGCCTCATGCAAATTCAGCCCTACAAAACATTTTTACACTAGCAATATTTTAGGAAATTGGTTGAATTTTTAGAAAATAGTTTCAAGATCCAACTAATGGGTTCTGATTCTGTTCTGTTTAACTTTCAAGAAACAATAAGGTTATTTTCTTCCAATGAAATTTTACATGTACAACAAAGGGTGTCAACTTATGCCAAATAACATGAAACACTTTTGTCCATCTTTATGGAACTTATTTTTTATAAGTATTAGGATTCTATATTAGGGTGAAGACAAAAATCACACAAGAACTGTAGGAAGGCAGCATAATTTCTCTTTATCCATCAATTGTGAAGTCTTCAAAATATTATAACACATGCAGATCTTCATATGAAAATCAAATCAATGATATTTATACTGGATGGGCACAGAATTGTAGAAACTCTGGTTGCTAGCATGACAGTGAAGGCAACTTTTAGTATTTTTAAATTTATTAATCTACATCTAAGCAAAAAATAACACTAACATCCAATCAATTTTTGATATACTCTTCACAGGCACATTAAAATTAGAATAAAACTTTTGGTGTACTTTTTACATGCACATAAAAATTAGAGCAGCAACAAATGGACACGTATGTGAGACACCATTTGGCATAAATGTCTAGAAGAAATAAACTCTTTCAATTAGAAACAGATCCTTGTTATATGTATAACTTCAAAGTGTGAGATATTTCCACCCTACCACTGGACTGTTTTGTAGGAAGTATCTGGCATCTTAGAGGAATGTTCACCTGCCATTATTAACATATGGCTAAGATTTGGGGTGTGTGTGTGTGTATTTGTGAATATCCTGTATGACAAATAAGGCCACTTCTCTATGCTCCTTAAAATCTTGAATAATGTGGCACTTAAGCACTCAGAATCACAACCACAGCTACTGATGAATTAAACTGGAGAAAGCTTAGCCGGCTTACCACTGAAAAACTGAACTTAACCACTCTTTGAACTTCAGTCTGGAAAAGGCACATTATGCCCGGTATTGTAAGAATTCTCTCTTTACTGAACAGGAAATGATGGAAACTTAAGAGTAATTTTTCAAATACCCATACTCTTTTCATGATCTTTCTAGTTAAGGCTTTAGCTTTATAGAACTACTATACATGTGATAACTTCTTGGTGATAGGAAACAATTTAGAGGAAAAAATAAAAGAGAGACTCCTAAAAACATCAGTATTACTAATGTTAACAATACAAAAACTATTCCCTTAAGATAGATAATGAACATGAATGTTTCATTAGAAAACGTGCCCTTCTTTTATTCTCTTCCATGAACATCTGCTGTTCCAACAATAAGGAAAATATATTCTTACAAATAAAAGGATAATAATACTGACTACTCATTGCAACTTCTATGCCTGAGAGATATTTGTCAAAGTTATGAGAAAACATAAGCTGTTGATTTACCTTTTAAAGTAGCTTACATGTATTAATACAACCTGCTATCCTTAAAAGAGGAGTGGCTTGATCATTATAAAAACACCAATATTGAGCACATTAAGCAATAATATCTCAGAAAACTGTTTAAAAAGCAGGAAAAAAACTGCTGGAAAAATAAAAGAGACTGACTCTCAAAAAAAATAAAAATAAAATAAAATAAAAAGCAGGAAAAAGAACTGTCAACTTCTTTTCTTGTGCAAAATCTGTAAATTTTAAGATGCCACTTTATGAAGTCGATCTGATGATCCATTAAATAGGTTACAACTGCATTATTTTAAACACATACATCATTTTAAGACTCCCCCCCTTCACATGTCCGCACGAACGAAAGAGGCGAATACTCCATCTTCCCGAGCCAAGAGGCTTTCTGGAGTGTCATATTCTAAAATATTTCCTCGCTTCATCACAATAACCAGGTCTGCCGTCAGAATAGTGTGAACCCGATGCTGTGAGTAAAAAGAACACACATGTTTGTTACAAACTTCAAGGCACACGCCAAAACAATGGGAATATGCTATATTTTATAATCATTCAGGGACATTTATTTCTCTTGGGGTGCCAGGAGATGCAGGAAGCACAACCCTTCTTTTCTTCTAATTGAAATTATTGTTTATTTACCTACTTTTAAATCCCAGCCTGTATGTATGGCTGGGTTTTATATGGGCTGTATCAGCTTGAGTGTAGGTACTATATCAGAGTCATCATTTTCATGGAACCTTAAGTAGGCTAATGGATGTTTGTCAAATGATTCAGTTCTAAGAGGGGCCATGGCGAACCAGTTGGGTCATACTTTAGTCTCAACAACTATTTCTCTTGTGTGGAGTCACTAATTAGTGGGCTATACCACAGTGTGAAGACCTGGAAAGTGACTGAATTCTGGGAAGACAATATGGGGCAGTCTACTGTGACATGCAGTATTAGAATGGATTTTCCAGGCTTTAGACATGCAGTCTCTTAGTCTTTGGAGATCACTGCCACTCACTCACTATTCTCACTTTCACATGGTCCTTTGAGAGAGAAGGCGTTGTGTAGTAATTAATAATGATAAAAGCTCCCCTTATTGAGCATATGTCAGACATTAAGTGCTTCATATACATACTTGTGAATCATCAGAACATTCCTCAGCTGTGAGTGTTAGCTCTCTCCACTTTTTTTTTTTTTTTGAGACAGACTCTCACTCTGTTGCCAGGGCTAGAGTGCCATGGCATCAGCCTAGCTTACAGCAACCTCAAACTCCTGGGCTCAAGCAATCATCCTGTCTCAGCCTTCCGAGTAGCTGGGACTACAAGCATGTGCCACCATGCCCGGCTAATTTTTTCTGTATATTTTTAGTTGGCCAATTGATTTCTTTCTATATTTAGTAGAGACAGGGTCTCACTCTTGCTCAGGCTGGTTTCGAACTCCTGACCTTGAGTGAATCCACCTGCCTCGGCCTCCCAGAGTGGTAGGATTACAGGCGTGAGCCCCGCGCCCAGCCAGCTCTCTCCACTTTATAGGGGAGACCACTGAGACTCACAGAGATAAAGCAAAATCAGGAGATCACACTGATAATAAGTGGCAGAACCAGTACAAAAACCAGGTATACTAACTTCAGAAAGCGTGCTATTTCCATCCTGCCATCTAACTGTTTCAGAGGGAGCATTTGGTACCTTAGAGGAATGTTCACCTGTCATCGTTAGTGTTATGGTTAAAAGTTAAGCTTTGCTTGTATATTTTAGGTCTATCACCTGTTAGTTGCGCCATCTTGAGCAACATACTTAAGTTTGTATCTTTCCAGTTTCACATCTGTAACTTATGGTAATAACAGTATCTGCTCTGAGAATGGTGGTGAGCTTCGATGAGATATCTTACTTAAAAGTTCAGCATCTTGTCTGACACACACAAACACATAATAAACATCAACTACTAGTATTATTACTTTTTATTTTCATATTTAGAAGGAAAATCTCTGTGTTGACCTTTACTCTTGGTACTATCAGTGCTGTCCAACAGAACATAATGTGAGCCACGTGCAATTAAAAAGTAGAATATGTAAAAGCACTTTTAATATATTTTAAGCCAAGCTATTCAAATGTTATCATTTCAACATATAACAAATATAATAATTATTAATGAGATCTTTTACTTTCCTCCATTAGTACTAAGTCTTGAAATCCGTGTGTATTTTACATTTCTAGCACTTCTTAATTCGACTACTCGCATTTCAAGTACTCAATAGCCACGTGTGGCTAGGGCTCCATATGAGCCTGGACCATGCAGGTCAGATATTACTGTGCTGATGGGAGTCTGCCAGCTTAATGCCAGAAATAGCATCTATTTAGCTGATACCTAGTCTTCCAAGTGCTTCTTATCAATTCAAAATCCAACCTAAAGCATCCCACACTCCCAGACCCATGTTCTCCCCTGTTCCATGTAGTGGGGCCGTCTCAATGTTCATGCTTGCAGAAACGCAGCAGTTAAGTTGTGATCCACCAGGGGGAAAGAAACATGTACACAGAGTGATACATGTTGATAATGTATGTCGGCTTAGAATATACACCACTTGGTTTCAACACCTGTAAGACAAGCCTATCATTCATGAGTACTGGAAATAAATAATATATATATAGGAATAAACAATACTTTGCAGAATAATGTTTATCTTTGAAAATGGACCAGCCTATCATTCACTGAGTATTAGAAATAAATGATACATATTTAGGAATAAACAATACTTTGCAGAATCATGTTTATCTTTGAAAATGGACCAGAGCCATTTTCACACCCATGCATTTAGACAAAAATAAACTTAATTGTTTAATATCCTTCCAGAAAAATATTAGTTCTTCAAGGACCATATCATAGATGTCTAAAAAAAAAAAATAAAAGAATGTAGCCTCTAAATCCATAAATATATATATTATAAACATTGCCTTCACAGTCTAAAATAATGTTTACTAGAAAAATATAAAAAGAAAAACATTGAAAAATCTTGGCCAAGAGAAATAAATATAGCTGGTATTTATCCCATTAATTCAAATTATTTTTTTCCCTGACAAAGTATAGCATCAACTGTAATGGTGTTGATGAAATTTTCAAAAGGGTCCAGAGAAATTAATCTAATCAAGCACGAAGAATACATCGCTTTCATAAGAAAATACCATGGACTGTTCTGTTGTGTAAGTGCTTCTTTTAGAAGCAGGAAAAAGTTATCTTTTTAAGATATTCCCCAATTTTCAGTGGCAGTTACCCAGAGTAACACAACAACTTTTAGTCTGGGAAGGAAAAACAGTTACTCCTATCAGAGGTGAGGATCATTCTACAAGGAGTCCACCACAAGTGTGGTGGTGTTCTCTCTTCTATGAGCCTGTTATGAAGAGTTGATCCTCAGAAGAATCCTGCAGTAATTTCTCCCTGAAAGCATTATGTGTATAGGGTGGGGGAGTAACTCTAATTATCCTGTGGCCACCATGGTAGGACCATACTGGTGGCCCTGAAATGAAGAATGGCTTAAAGATACATAAGTCTATGGACAAGTATTCAGTGAACGTAGGAGAACAGAAATCAGGTAAGAAAACATAATTTTTTGGTTAAATATACAAATTATGCTCAAGTAGTATTCCAGCTGTAGACTCAATGAGACCACTCAACAAGGCCATGCTTCATGCAGAGAAAATCAAGTCTTCTGAGTAGGCAAGGGTAGGCTTTCTCCCTCTCTCCTCACTCCCCACTTAGTTAAGGGCAATGGGAAGTTCTTTCTCTCCCCAAATATCTCCTTACCTTTTCCAGGGAGAATATTCTTAAAAATATTAGAGAACTGTTTTTCAAGTTAGCTAATTCTCTCACCCCTTAAATCATTCAGACCTTAGTATAAATTAGTTAATCGGGTGACTTTCCTCCAGGTTGGAGGAACCACAGCGTTCACTGGGAAAATGAAATAAATTAGGTTTTCCTTTACTTAGGCACAGCTCGCAGAAAGTGGGCCCTGATGGGGAGTTATTCCCTGGCATCTTGAAAGATCTGTACTGCAAAGTGCTCTCTATCTCTCAGGCACCATCCACAAAAAACAGAAGCATAGCAAGCTCTCCATACACAACTCCCAGTATGCAACAGTTAAACTTAAGTAATTATTTAAATTAAGCAATGCATCCTTGAAGGGCAGGTAAGGAAAGTGTACAGCATTTTTAAGGATGCCTACAAAACATCCCTAAGGAATAGTGAGATTTGTTGTTAGGGTGGAGGTAAATCCCATTCTTGAGTTTCATAAAAACTCTCTCTTTGCACGTATGCGTTGGAAAACACATGCATGCGCCTCATTTAGTATCGAGCATAACTGAAGCACTTGGTGAAGCTGAGCTGGTAATGACACCCTGCAGTTTGTTCCTTCGTCCCAGCCCTCCCCTTTAATCACAGCATTAGCCTTGCCTTTGGAGGGGATCTTGCTAAGATAACTACCAGAAATGGGGTTACTTGGCAGAGTGGATCATGATGAGGGTCTACTTGTTGGTCATCACCAAAGTGGAAAAGAGGCCATTCTTGTGAGCGAGCAAGTTTGGAACGGTATCACATTCCACTAAAATACCCTCAGAAAAGACTAAAACAAGGCCTGCGTCCAAAATAGAAGAGACACGGTGCTGGAGAGAAAAATGGAAAGAAGAGAAGAGAATCAGCAGGAGGAAAGATGTCCAAGTGGCTCATTAAAAAAGTTTCTGTTAAGCAGTAAGCCTAAATGTGAGCAAGAACCCATCCATTTGCAAAGAGGAAAAGACAGAAAACCATGGCTATTTTAAGTAAGCTGTAACATGAATCGCAAACATTTAGGCAATTCTTCTATTTGATTGGTGCTACCTAAATTAGAAAAAATTACCTGCCGCTGCTGTGAGGTATCTCATTGCTTTATTTTTAAAAGCAGACAAGTGAAGAGAAATATAGAAATTAAATATAAGTGGTAGCAGAATTGGCAATGAAATTTAGGCATTTTGTTCTTCCACTGCTCTTCAGACTCTCAGATTATTGAAGAGAATTATTCAGTATAAACTACCATTGTATCTGGTGAACAAACACAGGCCATGACCTGCTGGAATCCTTAGCTTTAGGATGCCTTATCATTGTAACTTAGAGGAGTCAGCTAGAGCAGACAGTTTGGAAAAGAACAACATTTTCAAAATATAGCTTTTTTCTTTTTTTTTTTTTTTCTTTTTTGCACAGACACAGAAACATTATCAGAGAAATGCAGAGTTTAACACACTAGGTATCGCAGGGCTTCTTACCTGCTCAAACTTAAAGACTATAGCATCTTAGAATAAAAAAGAGACGCACACATCAGTCAGAGCTGTGTCTCATACTCTACAGCATGTAAACACGGTGCGGGTCTGCAAAGGCCGTCATGTCGAACACTATTCTGCACAAGAATGTTTTCCTGCGAGACAATAATAAAGTGTGAATTTTCTCTGGACGACTTTCTCTTGCCATAATATTTTGCCCCCAAGAACAATGTCCCACCACGCCCAATCCCTTCTGAGCACTTCACCCTAAGCTTCCGTGGGAGATGGGAGAGGGAGGGTCCCTAGTAGCAGGTGCATACCTGGATCCTTGTACATGCCGTTCAAATGCCAAATAAACTCAGTGATGCAAGCTCGAATGAGTGACAGATTTATTGCCAGGAAACCCACCAAGGAGGGAAAAATGACTCCAATAGCGCATAAAAATGTTATTGAGTTATCGACAAATAGTATGCATTCAAAACTAAAACCCTAGGCCAGGCACAGTGGCTCACAACTAATCCTAGCACTCTGGCAGGCCGAGGCGGGCGGATCACTCAGGTCAGGCAGTTCAAAACAGCCCTCGAGCAAGAGCGAGACCCCGTCTCATAAAAATCGACAAGAATTTAATTGGACAACTAAAATATATAAAAATTAGCTAGGCCAATGGAGGTGCATGCCTTGTAGTCCAGCTTACTTTGGGAAGGCCGAGGCGAAGGAATCGCTTGACCCAGGAGTTTGAGGTTTGCTGTGACTACGGCTGATGCAATGGCCACTCTAGCACCGGCAAACAGACTGAGACACTCTTGTCTCCAAAAAAAAACAAAACAAAAAAAAAAACAAAAACCTGAAAAGTTGTTACATTTGAGTGGAGAAGGAACTGAAAATCATGCAAAACTTTGAACTTGACCACAGAAGAACATTCTAGGCAGAACATTTTTAATTCCACCACAAACCACTTTTATCATTATTTTAAAAGATGTCTGGTAACAAGATTCCTCTCTCTGCTAGACGCAGTGTCACCTTTGGCACAGGGACCTGCTTTCAACAGACAGGCAATTTTTCCAACACTAGTGGGCAGTTGCTATGGTTCGGGATGATCAAGAGTATTATAGTTATTGTGCATCTAGCCTGGGTTGACAAAGAGACGCTCTGATTAAAGAGACTATTTCTCATTCTTTAAATTATGTAATTGAGAAGCTGTATATTTGTATAGGTGCTTCGAGTAAGTCTTACTTAATAGAAAAGAGGATGTCAAATTAAGTAGCTCCATAATATAATTGGCTCTTAACAATCCTGAAACTGTTTCACCGTTATTTAGGTGTTTTCCCCAATCGCGAATGGGCACCAGGAAATAACATGAGGTTGTCATGATTTTTTCTTTTTTCAGAAAGGTTGTCAATCAATTTTTTTGTTCTGTTTGTTTGAGACAAGAGTCTTCGCTTGTGCACAAGCGCGGCTAGATGAATGCCGTGGCATCAGCCTGAGAAGTGCACCCTCCAAGCTTCTAGGCTTCCAAGCCAAATCCTGCCTGCTCAGCCTCCCAGGTAGCTGGTACTACAGGCATTCTCGCCACCATGACCGCTAATTCTCTCTCTATTAGATTCATGGCCATTAATTTCTTTCTATTTATCAGTAGAGACGGAGTCTTGCTCCCTTGCTCAGCCTGGTTTCGACTCCGCCCACCTCAGCTCCCAGCAGTGCTAGGATTATCAGACATGAACCATAATTTTGTTTATTGTAATAGGAATGCCTTTAAAGTGGTGTAACCTCATTCTATTAATGAATTCTCAATGGCTACCATCAGTTTGATCAGGAGATGATTGAGAAGACAACCAAAACAATAGTACTGAGGATTCGAACCCATCAGGAAAAAATAGATTGTGAATGTGTAATGTTTCATGCACATTTTCCAAAAGCTTAGCTAATGCCACTCACCGTGGCCATGGTCAATGAGCTGTGCTTCATCCATAATACGAATACTGCTCTTCGAACAAAGCTCTAGCAAGGCAAACACACCGAGCTGTCTCTCTGTCCAAAACCGGCAAATTCTCCCCACCTTGCAGTGACAACTGCATCTACAGAGAAGCAAATTCGTAAAGGAAGAAATGCTGCTAACATTCTTTCCTTGGCAAAGGAATTATAACTGAATAAAACATTGTTTGCATGAAGCAGATGAATCGATATGTTCCAGGCGGGCGATCCACCATGTCATAAACTATACTACTGGGTATTTAGATAAATTTTTTTACGAAATTTATTTTTTTTATTAAATTCAAACACTTTTTTTAGTATTCTGGAGAGAATTTCCTATGATACATTTCTGCTCATCAAATTCTACATTTCATCGCAGAGCATGCAATTTATTCGTCTCCAAATTGTTAATCAATAAATAGAATAAGAGGAATGCTTGGATGGGTGAAGCTCTTCACTAGATTGGCCCGAGCCACCATCTCCATGAAGAATTGATGTAAATAATATTTTTTAAGACAACTGACACAGACTGTTCCGTGTTACATAGGTGTACAATAGACAATCTGTTGCTTAACCCTAACGGGTAAGCCAAACACTTTATGCCACAGATCCAGAAACAGGTGTAGTGCAGCTCTCAGTGTGTGCAACGAGGAGGTATAAGATCAATTGCCGTCCTTCCGAATATTAATGTGAGAAGGGGTCTCTAAAGGCCTGAAGGAATACCAAGACTAATCAACACATGGTAATCATATTCTCAAGTAGGCTTGCTGGCTCGTCCTCAGGAGACCACGTCAAAAATTATTATAGGGAAGGTTCATGCAGAGTTCTAGAACCACTCTCACAATCTGAACCTGAAAGGTCATCAAATCCTTCCCTTAAAGACATGCTGTCTTAAAGCTTTGTTTGCTGGCATGCCTTTTCTTTGGACTTAATTAAAATAATTAAATGTAGTGGTGTGGGCGCTAGGCTCTTCTGTGCTCCAAATACATCAATACCCGATGGTTATTTTTGTAGCTTGATTTTTTAAGAAAGCTCAATGCAAACAGCACATCATGATCACTGGTCATATTACTGTAATGTAAAACTTAGAGATTACTGAGAAAATGGCTGGAAAAGAAAAAAAAAATTAGGTATCAATAAACTATTAATCGATTTCTTTTTCTTTCTTTTTTCTCTTTCTTTCTTTCTTTCTTTTCTTTCCTCGTTCTTTCTCTTCTTG